TGTCCCCCCAGAGCAGCAGGGTGGGTACGGAGCCGAAGGAGGAACCAGGCCCGCTCTTGCCACACTCCCAGAGGAAGGCATGACGTGAGCTGTGCCTTAATTGGTTATTAATAACTCCTTTGTTAACCAGCCAGCCCTGAGGAGGAACCGAAATGTGACTGCCCCGGTGGCGAGCTCAGTCACCGGCAGCCAGCGATCATTCACAATTCCTCCCCACATTGATTTTGTGTTGTTTTTCCCGGGAGCCGCAGCCCCCCGGGTGAGTCACGGCGGTGACAGCAGGGTGACAGCACGGTCCCCTCACCTACGCACACCGCACAGCCTTCTGCGGTGGGATTTTCTTTTTGATTCCTAGAAAAATAACAGATGCTCCCGTTGAGGGGGAGATTCTTGGAACCCGTTCAGGCTGAGCCTGGATGTGCCCAAACTCCCGGTTCCCCTCACACAAAGCCCCGAGGGAGAGCGGAGATCCCCTGGCCATGGGTGGTTCCTCCTCCAGCCCATGCCGAGGGCCAGGAGCCTCCCCCCGGGGCAAACACCGACAGCAAACAGCCTCCACACCCCAATCCCAGCCTCCTGCTCGCTGGAGCTTCCCTTTAACTGGAAGCTTTGGAGCTCCCACTTCAAGGGACCCTTTTCATTGTGTCCTGTGCCAATCAAAGCGGTGCTGGGACTCTCTGCACCTCCCTGCTGCACAGGGGAGTTTCATGCTTCAGCTGCCTCAGAATGGATTCTGAGGACTCCCAAGGGCATTCCCAGTTCCCATCCATGCTGCAGCACCAGCCCATCTGGGAAATTTTAGTATGGCGACCTGGGTGTCTCCACAGTCCAGCACCGAGGATGGAGACTGGAGGTGACAACACACTGCTCATCCTGGGAGTCACCATCAGACATTTCCACAGCAGGATTCAGCAGGAAACATTCCTCCCACAGCTGAGAGCAGAGCCTGGCCTGCATGAGGGCACCCAGCAGGTGCCAGAGTGTGTCAGTGACTACAGCAAGGCCCCAGGGTACAGCCAGGGACCAGGACACCACAGCCATGGGGCACACGAGAGCTGCTGCCAGCTGGACACCCAGGACCTGCCCCAGGTGGATCTGGACAGCTCCAGCCTCTCCTGGTCACACCAGGGAAGACACAGGCACCACACAGAGGCACAGCTCACCTTTTGCGCTTGGTGCATCCCAGGGAACAGCAGGATCTCAGGAGCAGCTTCCAGACACAGCCACAAAAGAGAACACTCCCTTCTCCTCAGTCCAAACCCAAGCAGTGGCCTCCAGGGCCTTTTATAGAGCCCAGGGAGGCAAATAACCTCCAGCTGATGATTAAACGCCTGATGGTTCACACCTCTGTAAACGATCCTGGCCTGAGCCCCCAGCCCAGCCCAGGCACTGACAGTGACCTCATCCAGCAGCCCAAACCCGGGTCCTGAGAACCCCCAGCAAGCCCCCACTGTTTGTTCCCCTTGGCTGCTCTGTCTGGGCTCTCCCTCCTCACCAAAACCGGGTTTGGCCAATCCCAGCCACCATCCAGGGCTGTGTCCCTCCTGGAGAGGCTCTTTGGGATGACCCCGTCAGTGATCCTTAAAGGTTTGGGGTTGAACTCCCCACTCGAGGTTTCATGACTTCCACTTCTTTTCCAGATCCATTTTTGGGGCTAAAAGCAGAAAGTGAGGTCCCACCACCAGCCCCTTGCCCTCAGGCTTCTCCTATGAGAGCACAATCCCACTTCCCAACCTACCTCCATCACAGGCAAGTGGGTCCTGCTCTGATTTACCAGCTCAAAAACCCCAATTCCAGCCCCAGCCACCCCTGCTGACCCTGAGGAGATGCAGCTCCATGTCTGGAGACCACCAGCACCCCAAGGAGCCTTTCCTGGCCACGCTGGACACAGTGTGGCCAATTGTCCCTGTGTCTGCTCCTCCTGGAGATGTTTTCCTACAGATCCTGTGGGATAATGTGAGGTCCAGAGGGGTCTGATCCCCTCTGGGTGTAAGTGGTGCCACAGGTTCCTCTGTGTGGGCTGAGAAGTTGGGTTACACACAAAATCCAGTGCTCAGGAGTCACCAATGTGGCCTCTGCTCTGCAAGGAAAGTGCTGACACTGAGATCCTGCCTGGGGGCCCTGCTGTGGCATTTTCCAGCCCAGGATGTCACTTCCTCTCTGTGCAAGGCCTCAGTGGGGCTCAAGAGACATCCAGGTCCCCCCTGGAAGGGCTGATTCCATGCCTGGGCACACAGGCAGCCGCAGCTTTGTCCTACAGGATTTATCCACATTCCCCATCCCAGGCACCAGCCTGAACCCCAGCTGTGCTGCACTCCCAACCCACAGAGAGTGCTGTGTCCTGGGGCAGCATCCATCCCCCTCCCTGCCCTGAATCTGCAGTGAGCAGCTCCCTGGCCCAGCCCTGAACCCTCCAGGCCCAGCCCAAAGCCCCCCAGGCTTGGGACACCCCCTCCCCTCCATGGGCAGAGCAAGGGGTCACTGAGGCAGTGGCCGGAGAGGAGCTGGGGAGCCCGGAGTGGTGTCCATGACAGAGCTCCCCAGGCCGCAGAGGAAGGGGAAGAGGCTCCCCTCCCTCCTCTTCCTCCCTCCCGCGAGGGGATTTTGCAGCCAGGTAAACACAGGATGTTGATGAAACAGGGCTGGGCAGATTGGGCAAGCTGGGAGTCAGCAGGAGCTCCAGGCAGCTCCCAGTGCCTGGAATGGCCCTGCAGCTGGGAAAGGGCAATGCCAGAGCCCCTGGCACCTTCCTGTGCCCATGCCAGAGCCCCTGGCACCTTCCTGTGCCTGTGAGCAGGGTCACAGAGCTCCCCTGCTCACAGGGAGAGGCAGCGTGGGCTGGTGGCCAAACCTGGGGCAGGATGGGATCCCTCAGGTGTTCCATGGATCCCTTGGGTGATCCTTGGGATCCCTCGGGTGACCCTTGGAATCCCTTGGGTGATCCTTGGGATCCCTCAGGTGACCCTTGGGATCCTTTGGGTGTTCCATGGATCCCTTGGGTGATCCTTGGGATCCCTCAGAATCTCCTCACAGGCTGAGCTGAGCTCAGTACCAAACCCCAAAATTTCAGGTTTTGACATCCAACCAACAGCAACCCCCTGTGTCCCTCTGGACACTGGGGACGTGCAGGGCAGAGGGATGAGGGGACACATCCCCCTGGATCCCACCCTGCCGGGCATCACAGCTGGCACAGCTTCATGGAATGGGCACCCTGGGACCAGCCGAACTCGGCAGCGTTTGGCTCCCAACACAGAAAAGGGGCCACAGCCCAGCCCAGCCTGTCCTGGGGTGCAGGTGCTGCTGTCACCGCCACCGTGAGCACGGTGCTCAGGCAGGGACAGGGAGCCACCAGCGAGGGGAAGGGACCTGGGCCGTGCCCGGGAGGGGCTGTGATGTGACAGAGGTGTCAGAGGGGCTGCCCGCTCTCTAGAGCCGGAG